TGTGGGATGAATTCTTCCTTGCCACACTAGCTGCTTTCTTGTCTACATAAAACTAAGTGCCTGTAATATTCCGTTCAAACAATACCCCCTGGTATCTTTCCTATCTCCTTTTGGAACTGAGCTCCGATTTTTGCTTTTAGTCTTTTGCCTACTAAATGTTCACGGTAGACAAAAATGGGGTGTTATTTACAAATAAACATTTGTTCGTTTACAGTTTGTGATGAGATATGTAATGTTTATAAACTATGTAGCAGTGACTGGAAAATGTAGTGTGATTTCTTTCATGAATGTTTTTTCTGAAAACTATTTCTGCTATACATATGAGGAAATAGTTTTGAGGAAACCATTAAACTGTAAACGCCAACAGGGAATTTCTTTTTTGCTGGTTAACCGGTTGCCGACCGCCCTATAGCAGAAATACTGCATGTGTATATATACTTGATTTTGCATTTCTGGGTAGGGGGCACGCGCCCTACCCACGCTGCAATTCGCGGCTGTGACTGTCAATCACTGGGCCCCGGCCAGTAATTACTCGCCAGTGCCCAGTGATCTCTGAGGATCTCTGACGGGGAGGAGGACTGTTTTGTTTATTAACTGTCCTCCTCCCTGTCGGCTCAGGCACACTGCTGTGAATGGCTTTGCACAGCACAGCCATCGATCGACAGCAGTGTGATTACAGTGAAGCACACACATCCCGCCCCCTAGTAAAACACTCCCAGCACACAGTTAACCCTTTGATCACCCTCATGTTAACCCCTTCCTGCCCAGTGCCATTAGTATAGTGTCAGTGCTTTTTTTTTTTTTTTTTTTTTTTTTTTTTATTCAGCACTGATCACTGTATTAAAGAAATCAAAGTGAGCGCTCTCTTGTCAGCAGCTAATGCACTAAAGGTATTCACAGCAAACCTTATAGAACAACCAAAGAAATAAAGTGCAGCGCTAAATGTTCTCAATATGTCACAAATGTCCACACAGAAAATTTGAGAAAAATGAGCAGTTCATATAGTAAGATCCACTTGTGATAGCAGAAGGAACAAATAATAGAAATGCACACTCACCAGACGCGCATAAATATAGCGCATGTAATCCGTATCCACCGAGGTCACTTAAGGCAAGCGGAATGGGTGAGCTTCCAGGATAGATCATCAAATCTGGGTGATGTGTGGTGAAACTGCTAGGTCCAGAGGTCCCCTTAAGGTTGGACAGGTACACAGCCTGGATACAGGGCTCCCTCCTTCTGGTGGTAGTTGATCATATGAGGTGTCCTGAAAATTAGTAGGCTCCAAAGGGAACCAAAGGACACATGCCCATAGTGTAGTATTTCAAATGTTTATTGTTGCAAAGTAGATAAAACAGGGTAGTATACACTACAAATGACATAAATAGTATGCAGAGTGATACTAACCCTTAATTAAGATGGCCGCCGGGCCTCCTCGTGGCTCCGGGCGGCTGTGATGTCACGCTCTGTTGGTGCCTCCTAAGGCCTATTGATCACTGTATTGGTGTCACTGGGGATGTCGGTGACACAGTCAGTTCCCCCCAGTGTCAGAATGTCCGCTGCAGTCCCGTTTATAAGTCACTAATCACCACCATTACTAGTAAAAATTAAAAAAAAAATCCCGGTATATATACCGCCATTTGTAAACGCTATAACTTTCATGCAAACGTATTAATTTACATGTATTGGCTATTTTTTTAGCAGAATACATGTTGGTGTAAATTTATGACAAAATTAGATTTTTTATTTTTTTACTGGACACCTTTAATGGCAAAAATTAAAAAAAACATTTTTCTCAAAATTGTCACTTTTTTTATTTTTTTGTTTATAGCGCAAAAAGTAAATGCACAGGCGATCAAATACCACCGAAAGAAAACTCAATTCGTGGGGGAAAAAAGGACGTAAATTTCATTTTGGTGCAGCGTTGCATGACCGCACAATTGTCAGATAAAGTAACGCAAAAAATGGCCTGGTCAGGAAGGGGGGTAAAAACCCAGGAGGGCAAGTGATTAAGCACAAATGCTTTCAATGTTAAGTGTCTTATAGGTGAAACTAAGGTACCAGAAGTCCTGAAACTAGGAGCTGTCCTCTGCTGCCTGCCTATGTTATCTAAGACTCTTTTAGCCCAACTTGTTATCCTCAACTTCAAAGATGCCCATACGTGGATCAAAATTCGACTGGTTCAGCAGCGACCAGATGAATTTTGATCCATGTGTGGACACTGTGGTTGTACAGAAGTCGATCTACTGATACTTTACAACCACCCTGCAGGAAAGTTTCCTTTCGATCAGCGGTGCAGTTTATAGCCTGCAGCACTGATCTGTTTGTTCTGATGGCGGGAAAGTCTTCCCGCTTTCAAAATACACCATCCACCTTAAATCATTTAGTCCCTTTGCTGGGGATTAAAAGGCAGAGGGGGTGGTTTGAGGAGTTGACAAAAGACAGTGGGTAGGACTGACACAAATTGGTCCACAAAAATCAGGATTGGGAGCAGTTTAACAGTTCTGAGATTTTCCAGTTTCAGAGCAGTCAAAATCCTGGTTAGAAAGCTGGATGCACAGTGGATTGAACACAGTCTGTTGGATTGACTGACTGGAACCGAATAATTAAAAAAATAAATAAAAGTGAGCCCGCCTCACCCCCATGCACATGTACATACAAACATAAACACTTATTGAGGAAGCCTACGTACAAAAATGTCAGTTGCGCTACACGTATGTGGCTGCACACAGTGGAATGAAAGTAATCATTCGTGGTCATCCTTAAATTGATGACCTGTAGGGGCCTTTAAAGCTAAATGCCAGGAATTCTGCCACTTGCTAAAATATGCTGACATACTATTAAGCTAGGTCCCAACAAGATACATGTCACTTCATGGATTTATCTCTTGCATCAACAGATTTTTTGATCTCTGGGAGTTGAACTATCCCTATACTCCCAGGGCTCTAAGAGGAGATGCTGTCGTCCCATACAGAGAATATTTGGCTGCCCTTTCCTTCGGTTGTTTATTCACAGATGCCTTTGTATTTTGTGAATGAGTTTATAGTTCAAAACGCTCTGTGATTGAGCAGGAGGATTGGGAGGGGTGGGCACAATTGAATACGACTCTGCTGCTGGAGCTGAGACCAGAAGGTCCAGCTTTGGAGCACCAGGGTTTTAGAGATGGCTTTTCTCTTTGTGCTCAGTAAAAATGCCCATTGTAAATTATTTGGCATGCACCTTGTTGAACTTCACCTCTAGTAATCCAGTACTTTTTACAAGGTGGCTGAATTCCTGGAGTTCAGTTTTAGGCCTCATGTACACTGCTGCTCCTAATCGTGAGTTTAGAAGATTTGGACATTTTTTTGCCAAAGCCCCTAAATTCTTCTTAATAAAAGCCTATGTGTGCAGGGACACACACAGCCTTTTATCAGAGTTTAGCAGCAGCAGTATTTAGGAGCAGGTAAAAGTCCCTCTTCTGAATTCAGGAGAGCAACACTTTGGCCTCAAAACACGGCAAAAACACACATAAACACTCCTAACCACTAGCTGCATTTTAGCACTTGGACGTTTATTAATTTCAGTGGCAAGTACTCTGGCAAATGAAATTAAAGTCCAAGCGCTAAACTCAGTACCACATTTGCACTAGTTTTTGCCACGTTTAGCAGCTGACAGAAAAGCTTCGCATCCAAGCAAGCTTAGTGTACATGTACCCTTACAGTGTCGCATATGGAAAATTTTGGATACAAAAGCTTGTCTCAAGGATGTGACAATTTTGAGGCTGAAAATATTTGGTATCAATTTGTCTCAATCTCATGTTTTTATTAGTAATCTCTGCTTTTAGAGAAAGTTTAGGGGTGTTAACAAATCCTCAGATCTGAAATGATTTTTTTAAATGTGTTAAAAAAAAAAAAAAACACTTTGGCAGAGAACTGGTTCAAGTACTACCTATTGATAACTTTGAGCATTGTAACTTTTTCTATTTTGCAGATCGTTTTGAGCCCTGGTGGTATATAGGTCTCATGCACACTAGGGCTCTTTCTCCTCTGGCAGAAGAAAAGCAGCTTCAAAAACATGCCTAAACCCCTTTTGCAAATTTGTTTAGGCACATCAAGTGCTTGGGCATTTAGTCATTTCATTGGCCTGGATATTCTGGCTGTTGAAATGGGAAATAAAGCTCAAGTGCTAAATGCTCTTAGCATGTTAACCTGTTTAGGCTCATCAGGCCTTTTTTGCCAAAACTCCAAAAATCAGCATGAAATTGTGCTGAGTGTACTAAAATTAATTTCCTGAAAAAGAGGCCAATAGTTGGGTAAATGTGTGCACTAAAAATATAAATCTATGATCTTTTTATTCTACAGGATCTCTTTGTTCAGAAAATGTATAATATTTTAGGGGTTTAAGTAATTTTACAGCACAAAATGCAGATTTTTGCATGAAACGTCCCCTCCCACTACTTGTAAAAGCAATCCAGTGGCTAATTAGCTGCTAGGCTTGCTTTTACAAGAAAGCCAACCATCTGCGCAAAACAAAATTTACCATGATGAACACTGCAGCCAGCAAGTCCAGCGACATACGGGTATGTTGCTGGTAGTCAAGTGGTTAATCTTGGGAGTGTTAGATGTACTAGCAGATTCAGGTACACTAACAAGTTGAAGCCAAACTCTAACTTACACTTCAGGGTTTTTTCCTTTTTGGTATAAAGGTTTTACATAAATAAAAGCCTGTCATTGTATAAGTACCCCTGTTGGAGTTAAATGGTTTCTCAAATTCCTAATTTTTACATCTGCAAGTGAGCTTGTTCTTTTGAAAAACAACTTGCTGACCAGATCACCAGTTGAAAATAAGGGAACCTAATGTAGCTACCACATCTAAGAATTGGTAAGCTGCAATACGGTGTTTTCTTTTGGGTTTAATTCTTTTTAAAACCATGCTCAGTGTGCATGTATCTTAACCTTACATAAACTTTGACTGAGAGATTTTTATAAAGGGTTGTTTTAACTTATATTTGTGTTCTTTACTAGGAGCTCTCTCAGGATTCCTTTACATCCCAAGCTTCATCGACTCCTTCTATGGGTTCCAGCAAAGGACAAGATGAACTCAGTATGGGGATGCAGCCACGACCTTCTAGCCTTCCAGTGAGTAGTATACTTAGTGACCATAAAGGATGTCTATTTTCCAAAAATAAGTCTTATACATCCACTACCTAATGGCCCTGTAATCTATTTTTCATGAAATTTGTTTCTTACTGTGTTAGAGTATAACCAAAAGCAATTTTTTTAAATTTTTGAATAGAGTGGAGAGGGATTAGAACACCTGGCATGTTTTTATTACTGTCTGTTCCCCTGTTGGGGAAATTCACCTCTTCTGTTTGTCTTCCTGTTTTTGCTATGGGACAGGAAATGAAGGGAAATCTTTCCCGGAGGGGAAACAGATGTCAAGATAAAACTGAAAGGGGTTACAACTCCTAGAGCTGATTTACACATGTGCGGATTGCAGCTTAGGTTTCACAGCTAATTGATACAGTAGTAGTTCAGCGGTTCATATCTGGTTTATATTCAGTTCAGGACAGGATTAGGTCAGGATTTTATCCTGTTCACACATGTGGTTTAGAAACTGTTCCCATAGAAGTCAATAGCCTGTAATCCGCACCTGAACCAGACCGCACTGCTCAGAAATCGTACAGGACTTTTTAAAATCGCACTGAATCCGCACTGCCAATGCATCAGGCATATGTGAACAGGTACTATAGGAAGCAATGTTATTTCACATGTCATGCGGATTGGTTGCAGTTCTAACTGCATCCAATCCCTATATATGTGAACTGGCAGTAACTCTATCAAGCTTTAAAAAAAAAAAAAAAGTTGCGCCTTTTCTGTTCTACATGAATCGTACAATGCAGGACACAAGGCTTAATATTCAAAAACCTTGATTTATAGGCTAGTACCTGCAGGTGTTTAAAAGCTTACCAGTGTCCAAAGACAGGCCCCCTGGTTGTCTTCCCTTTTAGCCTTCGCCCATTTTACGAGTCATTAGCTTTTTGCTAGTGTCCTAAGGTGATTGACTTTTCCCTTATGGAGAAATTACTTAGCTTAACTAGTTTATTTTTTTCTTTCAAATCTGTAACTCACTGTCATCTAATACAATAATAGAAGCAGTGCATCTGAATTGGTGCAATCTTAGTAAAATTTTAAACTGTACCCCACGATATGGGGGCAGTCTGTAATGATGCTTTTGGCACTGGATCCTGCATGGATGCTCATCTTGGTCCTTGGTAAAACGTGGGGAGTTAGCTCCAGGGTGCTGTACAGGTCCAGGCCAGTAGTCCTTTCCTATGGAACCCAGACCCTAATGACTCCTTCGAGGTTATATCCACTGATGCAGGAGAAGTCTGGACCATAGGTAGGGAATAGCAATGTGGACATGTAAGACGGGATTATTCTCCATCTCTGACCATTGCTGCAACCCCACAATTCTGTATAATATGTATTCATATGTTATACCTATCAGGAAACCGGGATTGTTTTGGACTTCACTTTTATAGTGTAAATTTCTAAATCTTTCTCTGTTGTCTCTAAAATTCAACCAGAGCTTAGTCTCAGGTGGACAACTAGGATATCACACCACAGATCACACACTTTACAGTCATTTTTGCTTAGAGCTCCTTATAAGGTACTCAGACGCATCCTGACATGAGAAGTTTGCTACAGGACGGTCTGCATCAGGATTGCTGAGTACTCTTTAGACACTCTTATCCCTTTTCCGCACCATACCCTTTGAGTTCCCCACAGGGTACTACCCTTACTTGTAACAATGAAAGAGCCATGAAAAAAGCTCAGGCGAACATACACTCTGCCGAAGGCCCACACAAAGCGAATGGCTTCCCTTGCACTGTAGCAGGACTGTTATTTTAAGATAGGTCTCTGCATCTGATTCTAGCTGTGTCTCAGGTGCGCAACAGGTGGCCTAGCTGACTAAGGAAGACTTTTCTGCAACTCTGTCCTCAGACCACTAATGGCTTTTATTACAGCCATCACTGTCCAGGGCTCAAAAACCTCAGACTCCTTCTCCAGCTCCACTGTCTCTACCTGAGTTGGATATGCCTGCTGTAGAAGAGGCATAAAAGGGAATGAAGCAGAGGGCCTTACAAACGCGTCATTTGAAAGAGGACACCTTAGGCACTTTCATCATATCACAGGAGGAAAGCTTTATCCCTAGTGGAAAGTTTAAAAAGAATCCCCTTCCTCAGGAGCATCTCAACTCTATACTCATGCTTCGACTTCTAAGTCTTTTCCTCACATCTCTTCCCAATGCAGGAGTCTCCTCCCTCTTGTTTTGCCATTATCTGGGTCACAGGCATCGCAGACCTTTGGGTTCAATCAATGGATTCAAGGAGGTACACTTTCTTCTCTCAAATTGTCCAAAATCTGCCCCAGGGCAGTCAGATTTACAGAATCTTCAGAACCATCTATTCTCCTAGGAAGTTGTGACAGCACCTCCTAGATGACAGATTAGAAAGAAAGATTCTATTTAAACCTGTTCACAGCACCAAACCCAATGAGGGTAGTCATCCTATCCTAGACGTTTTAATAATTGTTTTCAAATTCCAATATTTTGTATGGAATCCACAAGGTCAGTTGCTTCGCTAAGATGAGTGGAATACTTGCCATTCATAGACCTCCAAGATGTCTACCTGCATATGTCCATGTATCCACTTGATCAGTGTTTTCTACTCTTTTCAGTAAGAGAATAGTTTACAGTTTGTTGCACTGCTATTTGGCTTATCCTTTACTCCCAGAGTGTTGGCAAAGGTCCCCTCATTTCTTGAAGATCTCAGGGCATCCATGTCGCAGGTTATGTAGAAAATCTCATCTCTCGATCATTCTGGGTCTCTTGGTGGTCTCTTACAAGGCTGTCCTCATTCTCCCAAATGGATTTGAGACATCTTGCTGGCATGGAACAAGCATGCTTCTTTTTAGCCTACTTATGTACCTGTCCAACCAGGCAAGGAATTCCCTAGCTTGGTTGAGCTCCAACCCAGGTTTGACAATTAGATAAACTGGAATCTGTTATGACCTTCCAGTGATATGGCAGAAACTACTTTTCGAGCTGGGGAGAAGTGTTCAATCCTTAACAGTTCAGGGAACATGGTCATCAGAGGAAGCCAAATTCCCCATCAACATCCTGGAGCTCAGAGCAATAAGGATGGCGTTGCACCACTGGACTGCCCCTTCTGCAAGGACACCCAGTCAGGGTTATCGGACAACACCACAGCTGTGGCCTACATCAGTCAGTTGTGCAGCTTTGAAGGAAGCGAGCCAGATTATCTGATGCATGGAAAAACACTGTCCAGCATTCTCTGCTGCCCACATTCCAGGAGTGGATAAGTGGAAGGCAGCTTACCTCACATATCACTGCCTGTACCGAGGGGAATGGACCCTTTTTATGGTCTTGGCCTTCCAGATTCAACAAAAAAATTTACCTCTGTGACCAAGACCAAGGATCCGCCAGCAGTGGCATTGACTGTTTTTTAAAAATTCTCTAGCCTCTGTTTAGGCTAACCTTTGCCTTTCCTCTAGTGCAAATTCTGTTTCTTCATCTCCAGAAAATAGAGCTAAGAAACAGGTGATGCTCATTGCACCGGACTGGCCCAGATGAACCTGGTATGCAGACATACTTGAACTACTAGGAGATGACCCCTGGCCCCTTTCCAATAGGCCAGACCTGCGTTTCTGTTCTGTCCAACGTCTCATTGACTTGCTTTAACAGCATGGCTGTTGAAGCCCATGTCTTAGGGGACAAAGGGGTCGGATTCTGCCATTCCTACTTTGCTAAAAGTAAGAAAAGCCACTTCCAGAGCGCTCTTTTATCATACTTTCTTTGTCTGGACACCGGTACTTCAGTCCCAGATATTACTTTGCTTCTTGTGTTCTGTCCTACCTACAAACAGGAATTGAGTATAACTTTGCCTTAAGCACACTAAAGATTTAGCGCACAGGTTTCACCCTTGTCCATTCTTTTGCAAAGGTCTCCGGCCTTGCTCTCCCATGTCAAAACCTTTAAGCACTTCCAGCCTGGGCCAAGTTTGACATTTCTCTCATACATTTTAAAAGCAACATTTTTTTTTTTTAACTAGAAAAAATGTTATTCGGAACCCCCAAACAATACATATTTTCTGAAAGCAGAGACCTTTGAGATTAAAATGGTGGCTGTTGCAATTTTTTATGTTGCATAATATTTGTGCAGCCATTCATCAAATGCAAATTGTCAGGGAAAAATACACTAAATGGTAGAAAAACTGTGCTTGGTGCTCATCATCAAACAAAAATCAATATCAAAACTCCCACAGTTGCACTCAAACACATAATACCAGTGTTGAACCAAAATTAGAGTACAGATGTTGTGCTGTGTTACTTATATGTGTTTTAGTTAAATGGATCCCAATGCAAAGGATTATAATATTTGTCAAGAATAAATGTGATGTATGTACCAACATCATAAATCCAAATAAATAAATGCCACATAAAATAAGTAATTGTGTAGGAGGGTTCCACCACCATTGCAAATTTTGCCCTATGTTTCCACTTGTGAATGACAATAAGCAGCCTTGCTAATTCAACACCACCACCAATTATAGCCTCTTACAAAGTGATATGACCCCAAATTATAGGTGGTCTAATAACGGCATGTTATCAGTAATCATCAGCACCATCAGGAAAAAATACTTAAATGCATTTATGTTAAAGTATAAAAGATGGGGTTGCGTCAAGTAAATGGATACCAAACGTTAAAATGTCACGCCGCTGAACTGGTGACAAACTAAAGTACTGAAAAAGAAAAAAAAAAAAAAATCGCCACAGGTGACAACTTTAAAAGCCCTTTCAGGTTGCCATATTTAGAGCTAAATGTGAGGTCTGGTGTTAGAATGATTGCTCTCGCTCCAATGTTTGCTTATACACCATCACACTCACACACACACACACTAAAATAAGTATTGACCACGTCACCATTTTTTCTCAGTCAATTTTATTTCTAAAGGTGCTATTGACATGAAATTTTCACCACATGGTAACAACCCGTGCAATCCATACATACAAAGAAACCAAAACAAATCTGTTCAGAAATTGTGTGATTAAAT